CGTGAAAGCGTTATTGCAGTACTACCGATGTCCGGTTGCGCACGACCCTGAACGATTATCGGACTGCGCCGACTTGTTCAGCAATGGCGGCGAGCCGCCGGAGCGGTTCAAGGACATAGACTTTATCGGTATCCGCCCCACGGCTGACGAAATTTGGTGTCATGACGAGTGTTACGTCCACGTGGACATGAACTGTTTCTTCGCGTCGGTCGAGATTCGGGACAACCCGAGTTTGCGCGGGTTGCCGGTTGGGGTCGGCACGCAGCAAATGCTAGCCACGTGCAACTACGAAGCCCGGAAGTTCGGCATTAAAGCCGGCGTGCCGAGCTACATGGCGCGCAGAATGTGTCCGAACCTCATCTTAGTGCCGCCGAACATGGAGAAGTACGCGGAAGCTTCGCGACTCTTTTTCGACGTCGTCAAGCGCTACGACGACGAGTTCATCTCGATCGGGTTGGACGAGTGCAGCTTTGACATTAGCTACATCGCGGCGTGGAAGTCAATTGCCTCGCTCGATGCGTTCATCAAGAAGTTCGTAGTGCATGTCTACAACAGCACGCGCGGTCTTCGCGCGTGCTGCGGCGTCGCCGTGACGCGCGCGCTTGCGAAGCAAACCTGCTCGCTGCGCAAGCCGGACGACAACTACATTTTGCTGCCGCGCTACTCGCTCGCGTACCTGTGCAGCTTGAAGATCAACAGCTTGCACGGGATTGGGCGCGCGACGTCCGCGACGTTGGAACAGTTATGTAACATCAGGACGCTGTTCGACGGAATGTCGCAGGCGCACCGTCTCAAGCTGCTGTACGCGCCCTACAGCTACGAGCGATTTGTGCGAATTTGTTGCGGGCTTTACTATATCAAGCGCGCGGACGGCAAAAAGACGACCGGCGCTTCGCGCTCGTTCACTCCGACGCACTCGCTTGGTGTCGCGCTGAAGCTGGTCGAGACGTTGACGATAAAGCTGTGGCGGCAGATCCAGGCAGATGACGTGCAGGGAAGCCGGCTGCGCGTCGCCATTCAGTTGCACAAGCTGCCGCGATACAAGCGTGTCGCAGTCGTACACAAAGTGGACTACGATACGTTGCTGGTCACGGCGTTCAACTTGTTCATCGACATTGTGAACAGTTTGCACTCAGAGCGCTACGACTTTCGGAAAGTGCTGCACACCTATTTGGAGAACCGACTCGCGTACAACAACACGCAAATGAGCAATTGTTGTGTGCGCTACATCGGGCTGCATTTCTCGCCTTAGCTGCGCACGTCGACGGAGCAGTCGCTTCATCTTGGCTCGCTGCGCTGCGCGCGACCGCTCAGTTCCCGCTCTGCTGCAGAAAGGTGAAAATTTCTTCGGTGATCTGCAGCGTTTCTCCAGAGAACAGCGCGGGCGAGAACGCCAACTCGCCGATCCACGGGTAGCGTTCGATGTATCGCTTTGCGCATTCTTTCAAGTAGTAGGGGTTTACTTTGCAGAGACGTACGTTTGACTGCGCCTCGATCTTTTCGAGCTTGAGGTCGAGGCAATGCAGCTCTCGAATGCAGTCGTAGGCTTGCAGCATTTTGTTGTTGCTGAGGTAGTTGAGCAGCTCGATCCAAAAGTTAGCGAGATCGAAAAACTCTTGAGGCGCTGCTTCGTTCGGGAACTTTTCTTCGGCAATCAAAGAAGCGATCGGCTCGAACTTAAGAGCTGTGGCGTGCAGCCAGTTGAGTTTGGCCTCGAGTGAGTCCTCGGGCAGCGCGCGACGCTCGTTCAGCAGCCCTTCTGCGTTTACTTCGCGGAAGCACTTTGCGATCAGCACGACTATGTCTTGGCTTGCCGCGAGATCGTGCAGGATGTGGTAGAGCTGCTGCATAATCAGTTTTTGTTTGTGCGCCAGACATTCAATTCCGGATGCCGCGATGGCGAACTGCGGTTCTGCATCTTGTGCGACGGGGCGCAGGAACGCGCGCACTGGCCCTTCGCTTTTGCGAATCGCTTGCAGGCTTGCACGCGCGTTTTTCGCCAGGAACTGGCGCGAACGGCGCTGCGCTGGCTCTGAGAGGAACGTACTATGTCGCCCGAATCAGCACGAGTGAGCTGCGCGAACTCGCGGATCGAGTGGTTGGATGTTGCAGCGGGCATGGAAACGAATGTAAAAGGTGCACGAGGGAGTCGGGTTTAGTTTTTGGGCATCTGCTGGGCCGAAATCGGTTAAATACATTTATTTATCATTTCTCATCGGCATGGAGGCGGCTGGCTAATGCGGTTGCGCGACGTGTTGCTGGGGCTCGCGATCGGCGAAGCAAAGGTCGAGTTGTTGAGCGAGATTCGTTTGCGCTCGATTTTTGCGCAAACCTATCTGCGGTTCGATCACTTCGTCAAGGTGAATAGTCGCGTCAAACAGCTCCGCAGTTTGAGCACCTGTTCGCCGCTAGATGGCAGTCCTTGCTTGCCGCTCTCGCAGAACACGCTGTACGAGACTTTGTTTTTCGGGATCGCGGAGAACTCGAGTTTGTTGCGGTTCCTGAAGAAGCAGTACTTGAACAATGAGTTGGCTGCTCTGCATTTAAAAACTGGCATGCTCGCCTTCCCGCTGGCGGAGCGCGCGACTCTGGCGCTCAACGGCACTGTGTTCGAGCTGCGTCCCGACGCTCAAAGTTGGAGCGAGTTTGTCGAAGCGCTAAGCGCGGAGGAGTTTTTGCAACTACTGATCAACAGCGAGTTCAAAGATGGCTTTACCGTGGACGCCGCGGAGCACAAGACGTGCACCTCGTTGTTGCGCCGCTTTGCGACGAGCGTGAACTACCGACCTTGGCAGCTCAACACGGCATACGTCTACAAGGACCCCGTGGTGCAGGCCGCGGCCTCGCAGTCGACGGACGCGTTTCCAAATCTGATGGACGTGCCGCTACGCGCGTTTCTCGCGCAAACCGAAGAGATTCCAGACGCGTGCTTTCGCGCGAGCGCGCTGTACCGCGTAGTCAACGTGCAGTTCGACCGCGGCGCGATTCGCGCTGCGTTCGGCTCGTACGTGAGTTTGAGTGCAACTCTGGCCGGCCACATCTTTGAACGGTCGCTAGGCGTCGCACGCGGCCTGAACGTCGCGCCATACGACCACTTTGCGCGCGAACCGCAGGTAGCCGTCGACGAACGTACGCTGCGCCGTGCGAGAGCCAAAGCGTTGAGCGCAAACTTAGAGCAGCTCTCTTCGGTGCAGAACGCGGCAGTCTTTAGCCAGCTGCTGCCGGAGCCGAAGCTGTTTGGCTCTGCGGACACGCAGCGTCTTTGGTCCGTCGCGAACTACGTCCGGCGGTATTTGCCGACGCCGCTGCAGCGAGCAATCATCCCGGTCTCGCTGAGCCGCGCGGAGTTCGCTAGCTCCGCCACCTCTGCTGCGCTGTCGCAATCCGCGGCAAGCGACTCGGCGTTGCGGCGCTGGCTTGTTCGCGTGCACAAATTCCAAAGCTATTTCACTGTGCGCGAGATGGCCTCGAGCTTCGCGAGGCTGCTGTCGAAGGTGCGACTGGGCGCGGGCTACGCGCGCGTCGAAGAAACTATGGAGCCGCAGCTCGCGACAGACCGCCCTGAGTCGAAAGCGTACGCGTTGACCGATTTCGTTGAGCGAGTGGAGTTCAAAGGCGTTGTGTTTGCAGTGCGCCCGCAGCTCACCGGGCTCTCGCGACGAGTTTCGCCTGGCGAAATATTTCCGACTGGCTTGCCCAACGTGACATACTCGCTTCGCGGCGAGTGGACCAGCGCCGGCGAGCTGTTGCAGGCGCCGGGTTGCATCGTATTAAATAAACCGGTGACAGTGTTCGAGTTGCAGTACGAGCTGTGGACAAACTACGGCCTGTACAAGCCGCGAGCTCTGCTCGCTTACGTTCCTGCGGAAGAGCAGCAACGACCAGACTGGGACGCGTGTTTGCGCGCAGTTGTGCAGAGCGCGGAACAGAACTGCGAGGCGATCCACATTGCGCACCGCGTGCGACTCGAGCCGGGCAAAGTGCGCTTCGCAGCGGTTCGCGCAACACAGCGGTTCAATGTGCTGTGCTTCGGGCCTCACTTTCTGCACAGCGCTGCAGTGTCTTCGTTTCGCTTTCGCTGGGGCCGCATTACGGCGGCGTACAGCGCGCCGACCGTAGACCTCGACCTGCGCATGGCGAAGCAGGCGCTGCGCGGCGACGCGACTTTGACGCTGACGCAGTTGCTCAGTGCGGCGATCAACGCTCTCGCCGCAAACCCGAGCGCGGTGCAGCGTGGGGTCGACGGCAAGTTCGGGCTAGTGCTGCATCCCGGCGCGAAGTTCGCGCTGGGTGCGAGCGATGCGAGCATAGACTTTTCGCGCAAAGCGGTGGAAG